CATGCATGGTCTGGCCTGGCCTGACCCCACTCTCTTCTGCCTTTCCCTCACTGATGGCCAGATCTCTGCTCTCCCAGGAAAGTGCTGGAGCAGAGCATTTAACTGTGCACGCACACAAAGATCAGTAAGTTAAAAGAAATGAGGGAAACATGACAGACACACCACCACCCTGCACTGCAGCTTTTGCCATGGGGTGAAGTCCCTCCAAAAGCTCATGCTAGCTGATAATACTGGCATCATTTGGTGCTACACAAGTTTAGCATAATGCTATTTCTGTTGTATCAACTGTGAGGCAATGAAAATAGTAAGAACATGCCTCATGTCTTCCTACTCTGTCAGACCAGAGTCCTAGAAGATTCAAGCCTATTCTAGGACTATAGTCCCTTTGTCTCTATGTGTATTTACAGTCTTCAGCATGCCTTCATTGAAATCAGTGGAGTAAAAGGCACAAGAAAGGATGATAGTAACCCCAAATGCCTTTAAATACAGATCCCAAAATGGAGAAATTCCGTATTTAACACTTGACTGTAGGCAGAAGTTCTGGCTTTAGTATTTTCAGAACACCTGCCATTACAGGGTCCTGAAGAACTCAGATTAGTAGTGAAATTGACAGTACTGTACTATTAAAATATTAAAAATAACAATTCACGCTGCAACTCAAAGTCACTGCCAAAATAGGCAAGTGAGCATTCAGCTGAGGCCATGCCAGGGAAGGCTGAGTGAAAGAGGAAATTGCAGCAAGCCTTTTAGTAAGCGGAACTCTGAACTTATGGTGGACTAAGGCAGGACAACCTTAGTACAGTCATATTCTACTGTAAGCTACATCAACTTTCCTATGAAAATTTAAAACAATACTCTGAACTTCAGTAGTCAAACACTACATAGTACATTCTGGAAAGCTAAAAGACAGCTGGCTAAACACAAATGGCCTTTGTGTTCACTTGCTAGAATCATTCACGTGTGAGTTCAGCAAACTGGTGTGCTGAAACCCCAGCAAACTGGAAGGCTAGACAGCATGATTCCTCAAAAGTAATTCCGAGCCCACTACAAAGACATTTAAACACCTGTGTAATGGGCTAGATACAGTATAAAAGTTCCAACTTTGCTGAAAACTTCTGTATCTCATGAGCTTTAAGTACAGGATCAACCACATCCTGAGGAGACTTGTGGTCTATATAGGTGCACTAGTTTTGGAGCTTTTCTGGTCCTCCAAGACAAGTGGCATAAGATTTAGAATTAATGAAGTACTGATTTACTGTTCACTCTGGGTTTGTGTTTTTGTTTGTTTGTGGTTTTTTTGTTGTTGTTGTGTTTTTTTTTTGTTTTTGTTTTTGTTTTTAAATTTGTGAAAACCTGTAATTCTGAAAAGGGTAACAGAGATATCACTCAGTCATTTACTACAGGCCCAGTCCTGAAAGCTACTGGCTGATGGGGCAGATCATCTGCTGATGTAAGCCAGCATGGCACCAGTAATATGACTGTGGAGTAGTGCCAATTTCATCAGCTAATAATCTGGTCATACTGTCACAACAAAAGCTGGGGGCACTTAGTTCTTTTCCACATCAGGCTCTGTTATATATTGATTTGCATGACACAGTATGAATGTATGCATGTTTTTTACTCTGATTTGTTCTGCATTGAGAGATTATTCATAGATGTGCATCCTCAATGCTGTAAATCACTACGGTACATTTCAATTAATTTTTTGTTTTCCCTGGTTCTTAAAGTGTGCTGAGACACCATGTACAAAGCCAGCAAAGCGAATTAAACGACCACTAGATTAATCAGAAAAGAAACTGTTCTGTGCTCCTCATGACATTCTGTAATTATCCAGCCGAATGAATGTTTTGGGGTTTTTTTTATTGCTAGTAACTGAAATAAGACTGAAGTACTGCTTGTCCGTGGACCATAACAAATTGAGTACAACTCTGCACCAAAAGCACATAGTAGACAGATGCAGGACACAAATCAGCTGTTTCATTTGGATAAATGGTTATCTGATTTCATCCTTTTCCTGCCTAGACAACAATCAAGTACATAGATATATTTCCTAGTTGAAAAATTAATCATATTTTATACGTTTTGAAAAGCAAGATATATTTGAGTATTTGCAACTGTTAGTATTTGTCCATTACACTGTTCCTGTGCCATGTCTATCCCCCTTTCTATTTATATTGGCATTGATCAGCTTGTTCACTTACAGTTTAAATGATTCAATTCTGATTTGATTGCCATGTAATTTAAATGCAAATAATTACTGTAGAGGATGACATTTAGAAAAACAGCTCTGCTAAGCAGGAAGGTCTTTATTAGGCACGGGAGTTTGCCAGTAATATCAGAAGCATCCCTTTGACTATGAGATGTGGGAATCTATCATTTCAGTTCTTTTAAAATTTACTCTGATTTCCCTCTAACTCCCCTTAATTAAAACTCCTCTATACCATCATCAAGTTTGGTATCAGGGTTGAGCATAAGCCACTGAGTGAAAGGAAGAGGGGAGAATATTTTTAATTTGGTTTTAGTTCATCAGGTTGCGCTCTAGATAACTGCAGTAAAATTACCCTCTTGTGAAATCGTGTTTGTATTTCACACTGCACCCCAGTTCTGAGCCAGGGTCTGACTGAATAACACTGAAAAGTACTTCACACAAGAAGCAGTAGACAGAAGAAAAAACCTTCTTACTTTGCAATAATCAAAACCAGCTCATTTTCCCCTTCTTTCTCCTATTTTTTAGGGTTAGGCTGTTGCTTTATTGCTCTGTCATATATGAGAATCTGGAAATATTAGACTGCCTGAGTACAGAGTTGGGATTGAATTACAGGCTCACCATCTTTTCTAAGTGTCTCTATAACAAGGTATTTTTTTATATGCTATTTGTGCTAGCAGATCCAAAGAGAAGCACCAATGAGAATGACAAATCCTGACTTTGACCATTTCCTGGCATAGCAGCATCTTCAATTTGGGTTTGCAATTTCACATTTAACTCCTCATTCATCACAGTCAGCAGATTAATGGCACCGTTTGAAATTTAGTCCTGCATAAACATCAGGGTAACACTTGAAAGAAAAAGAATTCTATGCCATTTCTTTTCTCACAGTCTAGAAACCTTGTCCTTTCACCCCAACACACATCAATGACCCAATGTTTGGTAGAGTGCCTCCATTAAAACTTCATGCTTAGCAAGTATGAAGAGACCACAGCCTTCTTAAAGCCACTATTTGCGTTCAGAAGCAGTCAGTCAAAGAATGCCTGAATGGACCATTCTGCCATTTGCCTTGTTCTCTTCTCTCAGGACCCTGAACTTCACCACCTCATAGTCAATGCAGTCAAGGCTGCCCCCAAGCTTCACATTCCCAATCAGTTCTCTCTTGTTTGTAAATACCAGGTCCAACAGAGTGTCTTCCCTCATTGCTTCATGGCCCCAGTGCCTTCCCCTTGTTGGACTGCTGTTCACAGAGAAGGAAGGCAGAAGAGTAAAAGATTTATTTGCAGGATAGAGATCCCAAGTTTGCATCCTATACTGAAATTCAGGCTCATAGGCAAAAGCTAGCCTGATCTCAGAGAAAGGATTTTCCTCACATTTTTCTGCTGTTTTGTTTTGTTGTTGTTGTTGTTATTTTTTTTTTTTCCTCTGCCTCCTGGCAATCAAGACAGCCAAATTACCAGGGGAAGTTGTCATGGTCTTTCAGTCCCCCACTATGGCTTTAAGTGAATGCAGGAATTTAGACCATGAAGTTCCTCTAGCTTCAGAGCCTACAGAGTAAAAGTTATCAATATACTTCCTGACGTTTTAGACTAATGACAAGTTGATCTTGATTTGAAAACTTTGTCAGAGATACTAATAAAAATGTTCAACACAGTTAAAACATTATGAAAGCCACAAGTTACATCTCTAAGAATCAGAAAAAAAACCCTTTTTGCTTTATTTAAAAAAAAATAACATTGACTGTGAACGTTATTTTATATCACTGAATGACTTTCAGCCCTCAAAATTTAGACACTGAGCTAAGGGTACAATAGAGTTAAATTGCTCTATACAGAACACAGAGGTAGATTTGGTAATTTAGCAAGGATTCCCTCAAGACCCTCAGACCTGAAAGACTTTTTCCTAGAACAAGATACTTCCCAGTTTTTGCTGACTCACATACAAGTTGAACCATTATAGTTTGGACAGTATAATTAATTCAAAAACATACATAACCAAATCTCTTTGCTGATGCCACTGTAGCATGTAAACTGGTACAATTCAATTACCTTTAGCTCAATACCAACTTTTACCACATAGGGACATAGAGGATGGGGAGGCAGGGGCAAGGGGGGACACAGCAGCAAATCTGGCCCCTATAACTCTGTACCAAGATCTGGGCAGATTCTTCTGGTACTTTATTTCATTCTTTCTTGCACCTTTGTTTTACTTATATTAGCAATTATAATCCTTCATTGACTGCAGGGACACCTCGTGGTGAGGACAGTTGAAAACAGCAGGCTGCCATTCAATTAATTAAACGAAGCAGCAAGAGACTGACAGATGTTTCTCCTCCTTGGGATAATCAGAATTTCACAGGCACAGACTTCCACTCCCACTCTGCTTCTGGGGCATACATTAACACATCCAGAAAAGAAAACACTGACACAGCAACTTCAAGAACAAAGGACCGAGTCATCCAGCAGACCTGAACTGTCTAACAGTCCACTTAATAATTAACTTTTTTCTTCCAGGGGTTACAAGACTGGCTGATTCAACTTGACACTCAGTTGAAGAAGCAGTCCCCAGAATGGCTATTATGGCTTTGTCCCCTCCTCTGCTTAATGTGCCAGCAAAACACGTTTCAGTGACTCGCCATAAAATTTCTTGCTGTGATTTTAATTTTTTTTTTTTAAAAGGCATGCGTGTATGATTTTTAACAGGGATTCCCTTTCTCCTCACTGCAACTACACTGTGGCACTGTCACTGCAGCATCTGATCCACTACATAATAAGAATTGCATCAGCTTGCTTACCCAGTGCAGCGACCCAATGCAGACCTTGGCAGCCAGAAGAGGAACGGTGGGATCTGTAGGTCGCAGTTTAGCACACTCTTTGAGTACTGACACAGCATATGCTGACTGGAGGAGGAGGAAATAAAAAAGGCTGATTAGACAATGCTGTTAGAGTCCAAGCAAGATAGTTTAGCGAAATGTACAAAGAAGTGCTATGAAGTAAAGAATCAATGTCAGCAGCAAGTCAGCAATTTTATTCTCACCTCCACACACAGACACGTGTGTGCGCACAGTGCACACGCAAACACACACTCTTCCCGCTCTCAGAAGAAACATGGTAAATAACCAGCCCTGGCTGTGCACTTTAGAAGAAACAGTTTTCCTCAGCTGTTAATGCACTGGTTATTTTAACTCGACCCTCCCAATTCACAAGAATTCTGCTATAGTTTTCTTTGCACACAATCATCTTCCAATAAGCCAGAAAAGATCATAAAGAATGTATCCTGCAATACGATAACATTTTAGGCCAACTCTACTCAGAGACATGTTTGTGCAGCTAAAGTAATATGCTCTGCAGATTATTTTGTGTCTTCTCCGGTTCCAGAACATACAAGAATACAACTGGGATCCCACCATACAAAGGTTGGAGCAACCAACTGCAGAGCTATACACTGTTCAGCAGGTGGTCTGAGTAGCATGTGTTAGAAAGAAAGCCCATAAAACTATTGCTGTCTTTCTGGTGTTAGGTTACCATTAATGAATTACAATTATTTAGATTAGCAGTTACATAGCCCTTTTGATTCAATGTGCTCTACAAACATTGCTTTTTACAGCACATATTCATGGTTGCCACATTTCAGAAGGTTTAGAGGGGAATGAGGAAAGCTCTGGTCTGAGATGCTGGTGAGAAGGTCTGGTCAGCCAAGGAGAAGGTAACAGAAGTTGCCCTGCCACAGTCCCCCAGACCACCCCACCTGGACCACAGCTTCTTTCACATTTCCAACCCTCCTCCCTGCTGACCCCTGGTCCCCCAAATTCTCTCATCCTTGAGCTCAAGGGTGAGTTTTCTTCTCTCAGAACTTACAAGCCCCGTTCCTCCCAGACTCTTCCACACAGTCCCAAGACACACACGGGACTCTCTCACAAGCACACTGAATAGTCATGGCCTTTCCATATTACAGGAGAGCAGCAACACAAGCTTGCAGAGTCAAACTAACCACTACTCCTACCAGGTCCTGGGCATCTCCTCCTGACCCCCAGGGGCTCTCCCCACCACAGCTCTGACCAGCACAGGTGGATGGGTCTGGTGTCTGCTCCTACCCCCTGCAGCCCCTTGCCATCAACACTTCCCCTCCCTCATACTACACCAAAATGGGCTGGGACTGCCGCCTCCCCTTCTCCACAGGGAAAAGGGAAATACAGATGTAGAGCAGCCCTGCCCATGCTAACACAAAGATGGGGTTTGTAACCAAATACCCAAGCTCTGTAGCAGTGTAGAACAAGCCCTCTTGCTTGAAAATCTTGGGTACCTGCTGCATGGTCTGAAGAAGAGCAGTGTGCCCTACATTCTCCAGGCTGCTCCCACCTACCTAGAGCATCAGGTATCATCAAAAAAATTAAGGAAATACTTGTTATTTTACAATCCCAAGGATACAATTTGCCTAAAACCAGAAGGAAGCCTTTCTCAGAGCAAAGATGTGAATCAATAAACTTTGTCCTAGAGCTTAAACCATTACCTCACCCCTCTCAGAAACAAAGACTTGGGTAATTCAACCGTAAGGTACAGAAAGAAACACATTGCTGCATTCTGCTGTCACCAGGTGACTAGCATCCCTCAGAATGAACCTCCCTGACACCTATTTGTTCAGAACAAGTAATGTCTCAGGTTTTAATGGCATCTTATTTCTCTCTCTCTCTCACAGAACATTACCTGCACTGCAGGCAGCTGGTATTCCCAGTAGCACTGCTAGACTTGTTGGAAATGCAAGCATAACCCTGTAAGGGTCCTAGTCTGGCACATCATCTTCCTGTCCTCCTGCCTGTGTTCCAGCCCCGTAGGTGCTTCCAGACAAGAGAAACCGAAAGAGTAGAGCAGGACAACATGTACCTTCCCAGTCAGCATATCTGCAGCTGAACCCCCCTCAACCCTTGTCATCTCACCATGCAAAAGTGAGCTGAAAAGGCCAGGTGTGTAAAAGGCCATACACTGTCCAGTGCCAATGCTTTTAGAAAGGGATAGAAACCGAACCTGGTGGTCATTTCTCTGCTCCCCATCAGCAGCACAGCTGCAGGGAAAGCAGGAGGTACCCAGGAGCTGGTGACAGCTGCCCCGTGGGCCAGCACAGCCAACACCAGCACAAACCAGAGCAGCAAGCGGCCTGTCCTAGTTTGGGCCACAGCTGTAGAGCCTTCCATGGTCTTCACCTGAAGAGAAGTGATACAACCCAGTTCCTTGCCAGGTCCTCTTGAACTCTGCCCCCTCCCTGTCTGCAGCCTGTCTATTGAGCAAGGCTGGTCCTTGGGACAAGCCAAACCTGCAGCCTCCAATAGCCTTAAACTGTAGAGTGGTTCTCCTGTCTGTGCCGAGTCTGCTCAGGAGGCGACTGCACAACAGTGACTCCTGAATGCTGCAAAGCAGAAAGTCCCACCCTGTGCCTACACCCAAACACCTCACATGTGGAGTCACTTTATCACATGCACTCAGGAGCTTCTGAACATGGATTTACAGATCAAGATCCACAGTTTCCACTCTGCTTCTAAAACATTTACAAAGTTATGTCACTTTAAAGAAGTTTATAAAATTTGCAATTATGGAGCAGAAGTGGTTTTTGAAACCAGGTGACATGAAGCCTTTCTCTCCAGCTGCATTTTAAAAATTCAAGAGATCTAAATAATTTCACCTTGAAACATTTACTCGGCAGAAATGATATATAGATGATCAAAATGTTAGACAAGGAATGACAGGAGAAAGAATATCCCACTCCCACAATGACCTTACTTAGGGGAGACTGGTGTGACATTAATATCAAGGTGTTTTAAAGATATTTATTACAGACATTAATAGGCAGGGAACAAATATCATCTATTCGGTATTGAATGCAGATGTCATTGGTTATATTTTGATATATTTAATATGAAACAGTGTTTGTGTAACACTGAAATAATCTGATAATTAAAATGTACATATTCTTTCACTTAGAGTGGGTGCACCAGGCAGCCAAGCACATTGTTTACAAGACTCACTGCAAGGCAATAATAATTAGATTTATTGGTGAGGCATGTTTTGAGAAGAGCAGAGCTTGAACTCCAAGTGAGTGCATGCTTCCTACTCACAATTCGAGCTTCAGATGCACTCACATCAAAATTCAAGCCAGGGTTTAAGTTCTTTGTGTTTAGCTTGCTAATTGCTGGATAATAATGACTGCACTAGAGCCAGTTCCCAAGGATTTCAGAAAGCTAGGGATTTGCCTCTGGGTCTCATTTGGCCTCTTTCTGGGAAAAAGGCTTTTAAGTCCCCCCAAACACACACAAACCCATTAAACAGACGTGGTTTAAAGAAGTGGCAAGCTTGCCAGCAGCTGCCTCATGGGGGTTTCAACTTTGTTTATGGGAGGTCTAATGTAGAAGTTCTCAGCCTTGGGATTCTCACCAAGTTTAAGGAGATTGATGACCATCCTCCCTTTGTTATGACCAATGAAGCATAGAGCTCAAATCAGGTTATGGACTGAAAACAGTGCTTTAATGGGAATGTTCAGCCATCAAAAAAAAAAAGGGTGAACTGTGTAAGGGACTTAAGAACTTCAGTTACCTGAGTTGGGCATCTCCATCCTTCACATACCAACAACTCTGTGCTTTTTGCAATGGAGACAGGGAAGGACATGACAATACTGTACCATATTTAAATCCATCTATATGAAACTGGTTTTCTGACTTTTTTTTCCCCTCACCTAATCTACCTGCATACAATATTTTCCTTCTGCAGAGATCACAAACATGCTCCACAATAATTTATGAAAAGAAAATTAGGAAAGACAGTTTCTGGGAAGTAGTATGAAATACTGACAAGTGGCTGCTTTTGGTACAGACTTCTGAAAGAGCTTTCTGTACCACACCCAATATTGGGGTGGGGGCACTTAATCTCCAGCAAGAAATCACAAGGAAGTTATGGAGAAGGAGAGAGATGGAGAGGAGACCTCCCCCTAAGTAATTACAGCAGCCATGGTTTTGAATCCTACAAAGGGAGTAAAATGTAAAGAAAAACTTCTATCTAAATACAAAATGCAACTCCCTTTCCCCATTTATTAATTATATAACAAAGCATGCAAGCATATTCCTCAACAATGTTTGCACATAAGCATTACACAATGAAGAACAATCTCCAATTAATCCTCCTTCTTACTTTTCCAAAAGGCTCAAGAGATCTTGCCATTAATTATGGTAAATGCATAGATGCTGCCCAAATGCTGGTTCTCCTAGCTCGCTGCAACACAATTTTCATTCTTTCCCCTCCTCTTCTCTTCTACTCTACCAAAGCAACAAAAGAAAGATGTCAGAGATTAGTTTCATATTTAGAAGATAACGAAACCACAAATGTAAGTAAAAGGAAGAAGAATTTCCAGACAGTAAATCATGCCAGGCAGACTTGATACATCATAAACAGTTGCTCCTCTCTTGCAAAGGTTCCAAAAACCTTCTTTGGTAATACTTTTCAGCCAGAGGGGAAAATGTTCCTTAAGGTAGACAGCATCATTCCCAATTCACCTGGCAGTTTAGTACCCTGATGAATCTCCACAATTAGCACTGCTTTATTTCTAGCATCATCCTGTCTGGTTTTTAAAACTGCACTATTTCAATGGGATGTGGGGAACGGGTGGAAGTCTTTCATCATCATGCAAGAGTTAGTATTCCTCATATCCTGTGATTCACAGCCATCTAGCTGTAAGTGACCTTGAACCAACGCTGGAAGATGACAGAGCGAGCCAGCAGTTGAGAACTCTGGAATTAGTTGTTCTGGTATTAGCTTTTCACTGAATTTCTAGATTTCTGCAAATCCCTCAGTATGAATGTTATTTCCTTAAGACATTTATTTCTCTCAACACAGGGACCAATTCTTCCCTTTTCTACCA